CTGGAAGTAAGGGACGTTTGCCTGTGATGCCAATGCGCATTCGCGTGCAAAAGAACTTATTGCATACGGGTAACTTGGTTAATGTTTAGCATTGCCATATGTTTTTCTAAATATAAAAATTTTGAAACAATACAAATATAAGTGCTTTGTAATGGATGGGATTTTAATCTACCCAAACGCATCTTTTACGCCACACTACTCGTCTTAAAGTGACTCTCCGCAATATTATATACCTGCATACAGTTTTTTTTTCTCTTGAAATGGTCTCGGTATCAGCTGTGATACTGGAAACTTTGTTAATGTTTACCATCCTGATATAATTTCTCAATGTCTAGATCTTCGCTATGTTGTCTTCCTTTGTGGAGCAATGAAAAAGAATGCAAGTGTTGGTTTGACTCGGCTGAACACTTCAATACATCGCAGAATCGCTGAAAAGTGGGCTAGTTATCCCCTTCACACAAGCATTATGATGCTCTGTCAAAAACACGTCAGACTTTGCTGGGCGTAATTTCAAGGCACTCAGCATTACACTCCAACAACAACAACAAAAAGAATGATTTCGTTTCAGTAATTAATATTAATTAGTTTCAGTAAATAACATTAATAAGTGTGCAACTAATCTTATTATGCTGCTACCAGCCAACTTCAATACTAGCATAAAAAGAATCAACTGTTAGGCTTGAAATGCCTGCGCAGTTTCCTTTCGATATGAATTATGACAGACTTTCTTTCTAGCACAAGCAAACAAAAAAAAGAAAACGCAGACGACAGTATAAATGCATAAGGCAAGCGCCCGGGCTTCTATGTCCGGGGTTCATGACGTTCATTTCCGTATTGTCCACGCATATACGTCTTGAAACTGTATTCCTTTGGTCAAAATGGGGAAGGGGCAGAAGAGCGTGAACGCGGCATTTGGCTCAAGTGGCCTTCTACGCTTGTTCAAGGTGTTCAAAGCTACGGCACCGCCAACGCAGCTTTCACCGTCTCTACCACTGTGAGTGTGCCGTGAAACGTGGACGTAGCCAGAAATAGCTTGAAAAAAAAAAAAGGGGGGGGGGAGCGCGGACGAAGTTCAACCACTCATTTACGTGCGAGTCTCTGTATGCATCCAGGTATTCACATGCATAATTTGGAATAATAAAGAACGCTTCAGGGTAGCAAGCGATAACCTTGTTGGGTCTCGTCCGCATCGCCTTGTCGTTTGCAAGTCGCTTCTCAAAGTCTCAAAGTGCCGCAGTAAAAGCAACGTTTGTAAGTGATAAATTGGACGTGTCGAACGATTCTAGAAGGCCTCGTGTAAGTACAGCTCCGAAATGCCCATTGCCCTTTGGGTGAACATTCTGTGATTTAGGGAAGTAACCGCGACTCGTTGACATGATAGCACAGCGGCTTTGGGGATGCTGTTGCTGATGACCTTGATTAATTATGCATGAGTGCTTTGTTATGTGTGGGTCTTTAAATCACTCACTAATGGTGTGATTTACATGCAGTGATATGCGGTGTGGTTCTGTGCTTCTACCAGGCTACATGACCTGTCTTAAGGAAAAGCCTCACTTGTATAGGGCTTTTGTTTCGAAATGGTCTTGCAATCAGCTATGATTCTGCTTAAGCATGATTTAACGCATCCAAGCGCACACAGAAGAAGACAACTAGCCCCAGTTATCGATTGGCATGCTGGTTAAGGTTTAAGTGACGCAAAGGCGCTCACTATGCTGACAGCAGCCCAGTCACGCCAGCACACTGCATTCGCAACTTTCACAGATGGTGGCGTCGCCACACGGCGTCCGTTGTAACTGTTGTTTTAGGGATGCCCACGCAGCCATCCCATGCCATCGTTCAGTCGGCCTCACTTTTGCAGTTCGCTGGTGCTTTACATTTTGTCGCTGTCAATTTCTACTACCGTTATTCTGAAGTCGGACAGGTACTGAGCCGTATGATTCACTCTTTATTGTTTGCTTGCTGAGCTAGAAGAATCACGAAATATGTTGGATGCCGCTGTGCAGACGCCGTGCAGTCAAAGGTGAGGTTTCCTGCTTTGCACGAGTGCGGCTGCTCGATCTTCCCCGGCCGTGGCACGAGCAGCGTTCACAAAGCTGTACGTGCATTCCTTCCCACCACGGTAGACGATGTGCCCGGCGTTCCGAACTTCTTTTCCTTCAATATACACCGCGCACGCGTTTCTCTACACGCAGTGTGAGATGTAATACATGCTAGAGTCAATCACTTTCTGAGCAAAACCTTGACAACACGGTGGCTGCAACCGAAAATACTACGCATTTTGAAGTGACGGGCACACTGGCGGCGGCTGCTGGCGCGCCGGCGGCACGATCCCCCAAACGACAGCCATGTTGGGCTTGCACTAGTGCCCTCTCTAGGCGGTGAAAGTTGCGAATAAAAAAGAAAGTATGCAGGGGTGATGACGCGCGAGGAGAACATGTGTGAAACTGCATGACGGAAGAGTAAGATCTCGCCACGTGAATTGGGCGACGGGTAGGTATATAAAGTAAGGGCCCACTCATTCGTGCTCGGGCATAATTATCATCACCAGCACTAACACTATCACCCATAGAGTTTCCTGAACTTAACTAGAGGGACTCTAGAGGGACTCAAGCGCTGTGATCGTTCAGCCCCCATGGTAATGGTGCGTAGTACACAAATTCGCCTATAGCTTGCGGGCTTCGAACGCACTTGTGGGTCTGTTTATTGCAGTAGTCTGGTTTTGTTTCGGATAAAAGAACGGACAGTTATGAACTTCGCTACACTATTGGAATCGGAGAGCCTAAAAGGTCAAGGTGGTGAAGCGCAACTGCTGAACATTTTCTGATTGCTGTCTCGTGACAAAGAGGATTCAGGCCACGCGGAGCCAAGTGGAGCGGGAAGGATGAAGGCTAGACGAATTTGTGTACTACTCATCATTCCCATGCTGGCTGTGGCGCCGTGCGTTGTAGTTCCGATAGAAGATATATAGCGCCCGAGTTCCCTCTATGGTATATACAGGGAAGTATATGCCATCATGGTTTTCGGGTACAAATTGGCAGCAGCAAGCACAGGGCCGAGTTAACTGGCGGAGCATGGGAGAATCTTTTGTCCTGCAGCGGACGTAGTCAGGATGATGATGATGATGATGATAATGGTGGTGGCATGCCATCAACAGAGCGTGTATCTGCACACATGGCTGCACAGGTGCACGCGTTGAATTACGAATGAGTAGTAGTGGGTAGTTCGCCAATTCGGAAAAGCGAAAATTGGGGCACCTCCCGACTCTTTCTCATCTTTTCATGAGAAAGAAATACATCTTGCCTCCTGCCCGCACATCTCACCGCACCACTCACTCCTTTCATGCCGGCCGGCCACGCGCCCGTACCACGACACTTTCCGCCTCCTTCTTTTTTCGTGCAGCTTCCGACTGGAGTGGCCTTTCCACTGATCTCGCCACCATAATGTGCCACTCAACATTTACACAAAATGTCACTCGTTTCTTTTCAATTTGCATACATTACATTGTTCCTTTTTGTGCCACTGGTTCTCACTTTGTCTTCTTTTTTTTTTTGGCAAGGTGTTACGCCTGTAATATGCATACTGATCCTGCACATGTATTATTTTATTTCTGTATTGGTTACCCTTGTTCATACTTGTACCCATCCTGCATATGTATTACATTTGTTGTATGTTTCCCACCCCTTATGTAATACCCCCTCTAGGGGGTCTTCAAGGTAATAAAGTGAAGTGAAGTGAAGTGAAGAAAGAAGCTTCGGATGAAGTGAAAATCTATAGCTGTACGTTTTTTTTTGTGGCTCTGTTCTTGTGATACCGAAGCATCGTCAGCAGAGCCGAGCATTTGCACTAAAATCAACATCATCATCACCATCATCATCATCATTATATAATCATCTATAGCCTGACTACGTCCACTGCAGGACAAAGGACCCTCCTATGTTCCACCAGTTAACTCTGTCATCTAAGATAAAGAAATAAAAAAGAACTTTCTTTTCATATATGCCTCTACGACAGATTCTCTTTCAGGGGCCTTCAATACGTGGCCCGCTGCCCGCACATGATGGTGTTCAGCCCGTGTGTGTGTTTTTTTTCCTTAATTATCTCCGTGAGCCAGACATGCATGACTGGTCTAAAGCATTGTTCTTTCGTGAGTTACCCTGCGTGTTATAAGATAAATAAAGATAACTGTGTAAAACAAAATCAATAATTTCGTATCCGCGTCCTGGTTTCAGTCATTTTTGGCGGTCAATATAGACTTTTTGTTGAAATCCCGCGCCTAAATCACCTTCGAAAATGAAATGACACGCATTTATGATGTCAGAAAGGTTTTCCTTCAAGTGGAAACGTGTGTTGACTATCTTCACTAATTTGAGTTGTAGAAACAGTAGAAAATAAAACAAGTAGGAATTGCATCGCAGAAACCTGTTGCACATAGAGTTACTGTATATTGCTTCAGTTGCCGTGACTCTAATTAGAAGGAGCTTGTTACGGCCCTTGCCAAATGTTCTCTCAGCCACGTGCTTCTTTTTATTTGCCTTCGGCAGAGCGCGAAACATAGTCCTAAGAGCTTACTCAGTTTACCCAAGTTTATTTAAGTTTACCTAATGTCTGATCCAAATGTTCCTCCCAGGCCTCAAATCTTGCATCAAGGTCACTTTAGCTTTTTAACGTGAAAGTTTTTTATGCCTGGGTTCACCACGGCTCCGCTGGCGTATTTCCGTCACGGATATGACGCGATGAAGTATATTTTAACAGATTTCAAAGGAAAAAAAACGAGAAAAAAAGTACTTATCGCAGGTCGTCCAACCAGCAACTTCTTCATCTACAAAGCATACCACTACGCCCCAAAGCGTACGTTGGAAAGAATGCTAACGGCAAAATATTTATATGCACCATATATTTTAAGAGCTTTGTTTTACTCATCACGCCATAATGACAAATCAGAGTCTAGATGATTTTGTATTTGCATATCTTTGACAGTTGACTTGGTCGCCTTATTTCAGGGACGCTCACGCATCAGCTGATCAAGTTCCGGGCAGTGAGTGGATTTCTCATGGCGCAGACCTACCTGTCCACGGTTTTACTCTTCTCGGGCTTCTACCTCGTCATCTACAGGCTCAACGTAAGTGCCCAAACTGCGAACAAGTAATCTCCGCAACCTGTTCAATGTGGCTCGTTCAATATGCTGCGGGCTTTCCTACTGTTATTGTTAGCAAACGACAGCTTGCCGCTGTCCCCGAGTTTGTCCTCTTCATGCACGCATTGCGATGCGGTGTCTTTGAATATGTCAACTTCACATACCACAGTTCCGTGGCACTCTATATATTGCATTCTAATGCCAAAACGAAGAAGCCGGCTATGTTGCGTGAGCTGCTGTAATTAGTCTTAATTACCACGTAATTAAACACTTAATTATTCGGCAGTCAGTCAGACTCTCCTTTCACACAAAAGGATGAATCCACACACTTCATATGTGTGCGCAGTCACTTATCGGTTGCGTGCGTTTCGAAAAAGAGAAAAGAAAAGTTAACATTTTAATGTTGGTTCTGGAACGCACCACGTCAAACGATCCGTTGAACATCGTGTATATTGCATTGAGTAAAGTAATCGGTCACAGGCATACTCGGCACGCCGAGATTAAGTCAAGAAGAAGGTTCTATTTGTCTAATGGGCCTTGCTGTCTTTTGGCCACAAGTGGACACTACTATATTATAGCATAAACAAGTTGCATACACAAACGCAGCCACAACCATATAAGGAAATATAGCACTCCAGCTCGCCTTTGTTTTTTTAGCACACGCAAAATAGTGCACTTATGCAGTTCCCTGCAAGAAACCATTGCATGCAGGCCTCCCATAGCATAAGATTAGACAGTACAGAACCGTTGCCACGTTTTTAGTTCGCTTATTCGCAGCATGTTTCATCGTGGCTGTATTGTAGTAACAGTGTGACATTTGCAGGAAGAGACAATATGGAGAGCAAAGAGCGTTCGCTGTGAAGTGAATTTATCAAAGGTGCTATGACGGCTTTTATACAGGGTGCAAGAACAATGCTCATAAGCGACGACACGTGTGACCATGAAAAATATTCTTAACTCGGAAAATGATACTCTTTCTCTCGGAAAGGAGAAGTGGAGGTGTGCTGGTGCATTGATCCGTGGCCTTTCTGATAAAAAGATCTTCTATAACCTCTTTTATTATTCTTCGTTCTTACTTTCTTTTAAAAACCGTGTTTTATGGAACAGAGGACGGTACTTACATTTGCACTATACAGCCATTCCTAATATTGTAAGCATGCTGTCTTGCTCGGTCATTGAAGCATTGCCCACTTTGTCCTATGTATATCTTTTCATATGTCAACGGTTTCTCAAACACAACATCAGATTGATATTCAGTAAACGTATTCGCGTGACGAATATTGCATGATCGACTGTTCCTGTTGCTGTTTGACGCACACACACACACAGTTTCGAAATCTTGCAAGGGATGAAAAACAACAAATTGATATCATATGTGGTCGCTATTTTCTTTAAATTGTGTGATACTCTATGTACATACGGTATCACGTGCAAAAGTATTTGGTCGTGTTGTTTTTCTTTTGGTCCTGTTTTTTTTCAACTTTTACTTTCTGCAGGACAGTTCCGCAATCGAGTATGATGATGATGTTGGAATATCCAGCATCATTTAGTATTTTAATCTGGTCTGATAGACTGACCGCACCCTTGTGCACACATCACTTCTGAAGCACATCACTTCGAGCAGCCTGAATACACTCTTCCTACAATTGTCGCGCTGTTACTACAACACGAACACGCTTATTCATGACGCAGTTAGTAGTCTTGCAAATGTTTTAAATGTAGATTTATGCATTTTGTGTGAAAGAATATTGCGAAAGTGGCCAATGGTGTTTGTACGAGTGCAGATCAAGTTTTCGAGTGTGCTACTTTGCGTCTCTTCCAGCGCGTTCACGGTAGCGGTGACGTGCATATGATCATTGTTTTCTTTGTTCTTGTCTTCGCTGATGCAGAGAAAATGGATATTTATCTTCCGCTTAAGAAATCATTGCCTTTCGTATAATTATCTCTCTAATCTGTCTATCTATCTATCTATCTATCTATCTATCTATCTATCTATCTATCTATGTATCAATCTATCTATCTATATCTATCTATTTATCCGTCTGTCCGTCTGTCTGTCTGTCTGTCTGTCTGTCTTTCTTTCTTTCTTTCTTTCTTCTCTCTTTCTTTCTTTCTTTCTTCTTTCTTTCTTTGTACGAAAGGTGCAGTTGCGTGAGGCCCGGAAGAAGATTGTCTTCCGAATTACGCCTATGCTAACTCATCTATGTTATACGCAATGGGAATAGCTAGTGTGCTTCTTGTCCTAAATACCCATTTCGCGACGTCAAATTCATTGTCTAGCAGTTAAGGTTTCCACTTCTATTTTACTCCAAATTTTTGTTTACTTATTGAGAAGCTATGCTTTTCCGCAAGACCCTTATAAAAGTGTTTTTTCATTATTATTTAGAATTATAGGCGTTCACGTGCCATCATATCTTATCTGATTCCGGTCAGTGACAAAAAGAAGAAAATTCGCAACGAGGAAATTATGCGCAACGAACGACTTGTTCGCTTTTTGATATGAAAAAAAATGTAGTGTGGCGTCAGGTCGTTGTCGCCAGCGGCTGGGAAAAGAACTAACCCACCCCATTTCCCGTACCTCAGCTGCTTTCTCAAGTTCGACGGAAAGCGCCATCGACTCCATTCAACTTTGCATCACCATAACTGCCAAGTCATCAGACCTAACCTGCAAGCTTACCGTGCTCTATGAAGCATGAGCGGTGCGAGAACACCGCGAAATAGTATGATGGTGCTGACGGGAAACATACCTCTGGGTGTAGATGAGCAACGCACGTGTGTACGCACTTTCCTATTCTTTCCTTTTTTTTTTTTAGACTCATGCGTCTCCTTTTGGCGGGTGTGCGATGTAACGAAGCCTGCCGTTTCTGCGAATGGAGAGGAAGAGTTTGGTTTAAGCGTTTTTCAATGCAGCAATACTAATCCTAGTGAGAAGCTGAAAAAAAAAGAAGGGGAGAATGTACTGAGAATGCGTTGCATATGTAAATCAGTGTGCGCATTTGTCGCACGCACAAGGAAATGGTACTGCATTACACGACACTTTGACAGAAGATCATCAGTACCGACATCCCTCCAATGGCTTTTAACACCGAAAATTTCACTTACGACAAATAATGTGCTCTATTACGCTTATTTGCGCGTTGTCGTTTTTTTTTTCAGCTCTGTATGAAGTAAAGGCAGGTTGATATGATAGGCAAAGAGTGAAATGACGCGGTAACGCCAGTATTTGTGCATGTGCACGTGTGTTCGTGTCGTGGCGAATCCACCTCTTAGTTAAAATAGAATATTGAGCTAGTGCATGGATTTGTGCTTGTAAGTGTCTGTTCTTCCCTAATTTTAGATGATATACGTATGGAGTTCAGGCGACGTGCAAAGCGCAACCAACGTGACTCCACAAAAGATGGTGTTGGGGAGGAAAAATAAAGCTCCTTTTATCATTATGTTTGACAGTGAAATTCAGTTACGAGCATTGCACCTGTCCAGTCTACTCCTTTTCCTTGTCGTGCGAGAATCGCGAAAAGCACGCTTCACATGTGTTAACCTGTTAGGCTCATCTGAGCTTACGAGAGATGTGATAAGCCTAGTAGGTTCATACTTGCAAAATGTGCTTTTTTGTGCAAGGAAACTTACTGAAGTTATTGGATTGGCAAGGTGGTTCATTGCGCGCAAATTTTTGATACTAAAGCACTGCTACTTTACTTAAAGTCGGCAAACCTGAGCGACCGCCTGTAGACTGTGTGTGCTCCCCGAGTGTGCTCGTGATTCTGTGTACCTTCTCATCTCTCTGCAACCTTTTTTCTCCCCTTCATTCCTTCCCCAGTGCAGGGTAGCAAACCGGATGTGCGTCTGGTTAACCTCCCTGCCTTTCCTTGCATATTTATCTCTCTCTCTCTCTCTTGATACCGGGAGGTGTGAGTACCATTATAAGAAACAGTGCTGAGAACCTATTCAAAGGAAATACACTGTCCTTTTGTAGGCTTATTTATTTTTATTTTGTCGTCTTCTCTTTAGTGCCGTTGCGTCTATGGCAGGTGCACTCATCGAAAAAGGAGGGGAAGAAGAAAAAGAGAAGCGCGGAGAGAAGAATTTTACCCAAGAGCACCATACCCCCATCCGTTGGTTTCCCTTCAATGTAAAAGAATGTCGATAGCCTTCACGCTTTTTTTTTTCCTGCGTAATTTGACGCTGGAGTGAGGCCTTCTGGGTTGAAAACTCTCTCGGCCTGAGAGGCCCCTGGTGGTGATGCGCGCCGCCTTCCTATGCGAAAGGGGCCTGAAAATTATAGATTCATGATCGAGGAAATGGAATTCGCGCGCTGATAGCCGTTTGGCCTCACCGCTAAACGCGCGGGAAGAGGGCTCAGTTGATGGTGCGACGCATACCGCGAGATGTTTGAGATAGGACGAAAACGTCGAGGATCTTTCGAGTGGTTCTATCGACTGTGCTTTTGTTTTGCCTTTTCGCTAGTCAGCGCTTCATTTCCGTGTTTTTAAGACCGTCTTTCTTTCTCGTATTTGTTCAGTTCTTTAGCATTCTGTTGCACATTCCCCGTTTAAGGGCTCAACCGTTATGCTTGCATCTCTGGGATGCGTCGTCTCTCGGAGCGACCTTCTTGTTTTTTTTTGTTTTTTTTTTACGAAGCAGTTTTAAAATGCGAGCTGTTTCGAAACCCATCCGATGTGATACTCGAAGAGATGACTCTCGGGGTGGGGCCATAACCGACAAAGCAGACTCGGAATTTCGTTAAAGGCGTATTCGGAAATGTGGAAATTGTTGCGGTTTTCGGAATTCGGCACTGATTTTTTTTTCTCCTTTTCGTAGCATCGTCTTTCACTTTGGTTTTCCATTTTCAATAGGGTGCCACTACAACGTGGCTTGGAGCGTGAGTGGGTTTGCACACATGCCTCGTAACTCGCCTCTGATAAATATTCTTGACCGAGATTTGTAGAGGTAAATTATTAGCAAGCATTCTGCTGAAAATGGGCAGACTAGATTCACGGATAAATTGAGTTTTCTAAGCCACACGCACATCATGCTGAACCAGTGCCTTGTTATTACGGCACTTTAAAAAAAAGGCTGCATAAGTTAACTGGTACACACGTTTTGCTTGCAATGGCAAAATGGTTTAGAACATTCTGAGTAGCTCTTGGTGACGCACGCATTTTTCCAAGAGGAGGGGGAGGGTTAGTTGATTCAAGTCTGTTTTATTTAGTTCCTTTGCATACATAGTAACATTGTTAGAGGTATGTGTTCCACTCCGAGGTCCCGTTGTTATGAGAACTTACGGGGTAATGTCTCAATATTAAAACACGTGCATCTTAATTGTCGAGCGCTGCATTGAAGAAGAATATATTCATAAAAACGTTCCAGTAAAGCTAGGGAAAATGCAAGATTTCAAAAATGGAAGCATAAAATGAATGATAAAGGTAGGCGTGTTTTGTTCTTTTTTATAGGCTTTGGTTTTATTTGTATCTCTCCCTTGCTTACTTTTTCATTCGGGTAATTGTAAGCCTGCGTTTTTCATGAAATACATGGTCTGAGTATTCGTATGCAATTCAGGTTCAAATATTATCGCTAACTGCTGATGGCAGGCCGCACAGTTTAAGGGACCCTACAACACTTTCTTAAGTAGCCATGGAATGAATTCAATGACCGAGCATATTGCGTCCTGAATTAACCATCGCAAAAATGTTGATAATTTGTCCACTACGGGCGGAGTTCCCGACGAAAGCGCTGGAATCTAAACAGGAAGGGTTGGTACGGGGGAAGAAAGTGCACCACGCGCGTTTCGTATCTTTATCACCTTCTCTATTTCTCTCTCTCTCTCTCTCTCTCTCTCTCTCTCTCTCTTAAACGCGCAGCTTTTCTGTGTGATAGCGCGCACACGCACGGACAGGTCGGCCTCAGTAATGACCGAGTGTGCCATGCTCAAATCAGCCAATGGCGGATACTTGGCATGTGACGCGGAAAGTTCCGAGTCTGCAGCATCATTTGTTTAGAGTAGATAAAGTTATTTTTAGCGGGCTTTGGGAATTTATTGCAAACTTCAGGTGGCACGCTGCGCTATAATATTTGGCTCGCGTGTTACGTGAAGCCTCGACTACCGATTGACAGCGTTTTCTGAACATGTTCAAAAAGTGATGCAGGGCCCCTTTAAAAAAATAGTAAATAAATAACTTAAATAATAAAAGTGATTAAGAGTGAGTGAGTGAGTGAGTGAGTGAGTGAGTGAGTGAGTGAGCTACAGTAACTAGCTAGCTATCGCGTTAATATGAAAAGAAGCAGTATAGGAGAAGTCAAAATTCACTGCAAAGCATAGTTGTTTCTTTCCCTTTTGTTCCGTTTTCTTTTTCATTAGCTAATATCTTTCTGTATCGAACTATGCCGCGTCTGCAGTCCTTTGCACCTCTCACCTCTAACTCGCAAGCAAATGCATCACGGCGAAAAACAAGTGTGTGCCCTCGTACAGTCGTAGGCTGAGGTTCGTGGTCCTGTGCTTGATCGAACTTGCTTAAAGCACCGCTATTGGCATTTCCTATACTCTATCTGACCCTTTGACCGGAAAGTTTTGATTCAACAATCTCACTTACAAATTTGGTGCACCGATCTACCACAGAGAAATTCGGCTTTATTTTGTGCACCATCGCCAAATATTTGCCCGACTGTGTGCACGCTACATACATTACCTAAGGCATACTGATAAGCTACCGTCCGATGATGCCTTCCAAATGCGCTATTGCCTCATCACGAAGGTACTTCAGTCTTATGGTTTGGATCTCTGATCACTGACAGTCCTAAGTATACGTATTCCTTTGTCACCACTGGCAGTCCTAAGTAGATGTATTCCTTTGCCACTGCCAGAAACCTGTGGTCATACCAATTGGGTTCTAGTTGAATCGGGGATGACTCAGGTAACCACGGAAAGGGAATGGTTAAGCGTAACTTTGAGGAACGAGAAGAGCGCAGAGTGGGTCACCGAACAAGCTACTCTTAAGAACATCTCTGTCAAAATCAAGAAGAATGAAGCGAGGGCACGACACGTAGCTCGTTAGCAAGACGACCGCCGGTCATTGAGAGTAATGGATTGGATTTCAACAAATGGCAAGCACTCGAGGGGGAGGCAGAAAGTTTGGTGGGCAGATAAGATTAAGAAGTTTACGGGTATAACATGGCCGCAACACGCACAGAACTGGGTTAATTGGTGAAACGTGGGAAAGGACTTCGCCCCAGAAGTTAGTGTAGTCACACTGGTTATGTGCGTGGTTCTGACTAATACATAATTGCTTAATTCTTCTTAATATCGTGGTCTCATAATCATAGGTGGTCGCACACGGGCTGGTAGCATATACGCTTATGCTCTCGTGCCGGCCCGTGCCAGAGCGCAGGTTCTCAAACTAACTCGGGCGCTAATGTTTGAAGTTACTACGGACTAGTTTGCCAAAGACGGTTTTGCCGAACGCTTGCACTTTCGTGAGCGAAGGCTTGGGTGTATGAACGTGCTCGCGGGAAGGGTCAGTCCTTGCAATGCTACGTCGAGAGGTCGCGCAAGCCGCCGCGCGCAGTTAATAAATTTGGTCATGAGCTCGTCGAATCGCATAAGCGGGATAAGCACGCGCATGCATGTCCGAGCGTCGCTGTCGATACGATTTCATTGTCGGCCAATGGCTGCAACGAGCTTGTGTGTCAGACATGGTTTTCAACGTCGATTCCATTGAGCCACATATTGCGGGACGCCCCCACCCCCTTATTTTCTTTTTTTTTTTTTTTTTTGTCGAACGCAAATAAACTTGTTCGCTCTTTCGGGGCCCACTTGGAAAATAGGAAAAGAAGAAAGTAGTAACTGTGTGGCTTTGCTGTTAGCAATAAATTATCGTCGGATATGTGTTGAAGTGAGCTTATGGCCACCTTGCTATCGCTGCTGTATTTCAAAGCTTTTGTGGGGGGGAAGGGGAGGTAGTAGAGGAGGAAGAGCCACAACAAGAGATAAACCAGGGAGGTTAACCAGCCACCTGCCCGGTTAGCTACCCTACGCTGGTTGAATGGGAAAGCGAGAATAAAGTTGAAAGAGAGAAGGGAAAGAGACGAGAAAATGGTCAGGAAATGGGCTGACGCGTAAGCAGTGGTGGCGCTACACAAAATTCAAAGGCGTTCACATAGGCCCGCAGTCCTAAGAAAGCACATGAGGGCTTTCACTGCCTCGTGAGCCGACGAGAGACGAGGACGGTGCTCTATCAGCATCTGCACGGAGAGTGAGAGAAAGACAGGCTGGAAAGGTAACCAGGCCACGTTAAATTCATTACTTACATGGTAGGAGGGAAAAGAGAGAAAAGGCAATGAGAAGAAAAAAGACGAAGAAAAGAGAGAATTTTGCCCCTTTATATCTCACTGTTTGAAGTTTTTCTTGCATTGGTAATACTGTAATATAAATTCATTCCTAAACACTTGTTGTAATGCTCACATAAAAAATACTTTATGCTTTCTTGGCCAATCCCTCTGAGTGTTTGTGAGCCTTATTTTCGAGGAAACAAACATACATGCGTGCATAGCAGCGTTCATCACGCGTATCCAGAAGGTTTAAAGCTGCCAACTATCGCAGATAACGGTTCTATCTCGACTGTCTTAGAGATGACGTTCACTGCTGATCCACAATCTTAATGAAGGCTTACAAGGACTGGCTCCAAGATATAAAGGACTTCCAGCGCGCTTCTACGTGATGGGATTGTCAATACTGTGAGGAGTTCGTGCACTGCGCTCTTCAGTGACCTCAACACAGCGATGTTGCGCAGGTCCTCGGCTTCATTCGATCAGTCTGTGGCAATACATACCTAGTTTAAAAGTTGAAGCTACCCATTTCGCCATATATAAATGTACCCATTGGGTGAACTAACAGCAAACTATATACTGAGTTTAACAACTTATAAATCGCAGGCCTTTTTTTTTCGTCGCTTCTTAGGGGCGAAGCTTTTTGGTGTGTGGGTCTGTCCATTCTCCGTTGGTGTACGTAGCTACAGGTGGCACATACCTGCTCTAGAGCGTGTATGTGCCACAGGGGATACGAGATAGAGATAGAAAGAGAAAAGACTTTATTCATAGAATCCTGCGTGGGGTAGGTGCCGGCCTTGCAGGGCGTGGTCTACCCTTCTAATGTTCTAGTCTATGCAGTCCTAGAAACACTGGGCCAAGAACTCGAGGGTTGAACCTGACCCGACCGAGGATACTTGGATTCCCAGGGAGATGGCGGTACTTGTAGTGTTCACTAGATAAGACACCTACCACTTACCAATAATAAAATTTCTTATAAAAATATATACAGTGTTTGCCACGTCTTTGATGATGTAGTGGGCGATATTCGCGGATGATTCACAGTTTCACAATGAAACGCTCCAGCGCTTCACCCCACTCATCATCATTCACTCTGAGGATATGTTGTGATGAAGTGCTGAATAGATGGCGGCACTTGTAGTTGATAAATTTAAAATTAGATGGCAATACTTGTAGGTAATGATGTATGTAGTTGATAAATTTAAAACTTACATGGAAATACTTGTAGTTAATGATGTTTGTAGATACGGAGAACACGCAGCCACCAAGGTCCTTGACTATGGAATCGTATTCATGACCATGTACCTAGCTCCTAACCTGTCGGTCGGAAATGTCAAGGCGTACATAGACACGGCATTGAAAAAGTGTTTCAGCTTCACTAACATCGACAGCTCTTTGTTGGGCTAAATGTTACCTTTCTCAATGTTGCCGGACTGGTGGCGAGAGTAGCGAGATTAATTCATTGCGGCACCGATCTGTTTTCATCTTGGACCATGAAAACATCCCACAAAATGACGACAGGAGACGCCGAAAAACCAAGCCTGTCAGATGGTTCGCAGCTGAAACTTAGAGACCTCACTGTGAATGAATGAATGAATCTTTTTCTTTGTTTGTTTGTTTTTCTGTTGCAGCCCTCCGGCTGGGAGCTTTCTCGCACTGACCCTATGATCAATGGCGGAGCCTTCACCCAGTACGTGCGCATGCTGTACCTGTCCGTCTCGTCGGCCACGCTGTGCGGTACGTGGAGCCTGTGCGCACTGGAAGCCTTGGTTTTAGGGGCGAAGCTCCTTACGGTTTAGGGCACGGATAAAGAAGTATTCTTGCTCGGTGGTCTAGGGCAGTCCAATGCTCTGGCGTAGCCAGCACAGCATATCCGCAGGCAGGCAGACCCCTACTGATCAGGCTTCACCCTACTGATCATCATTGACTCCGTGTTTTTTGTCTGTCTGTCTGTCTATCTGTCTGTTTGTCTGTCTATCTGTCTGTCCATCCGTCCGTCCATGTCTGTCGTCTGTCTGTCAGTATGACCATTCGTCCGTCCGTGTCTGTCTGTCTGTCTGTCTGTCTGTCTGTCTGTTTTTCTGTCTGTCCGTCCGTCCGTGTCTGTCTGTCTGTCTGTCTGTCGTCTGCCTGTCTGTCTGTCCATTTGTCCGTCCGTGTCTGTCTGTCTGTCTGTTTCTGTCTGTCCGTCCGTCCGTCCGTGTCTGTCTGTCTGTCTGTATGTCTGTCTGTCTGTCTGTCTGTCTGTCTGTCTGTCTGTCTGTCTGTCTGTTTGTCTGTCTGTCTGTCTGTCTGTGTATCCATCCGTCCATGTCTGTCGTCTGTCTGTCCGTCTGTCCATTCGTCCGTCCGTGTCTGTCTGTCTGTCCGTCTGTCTGTCTGCCTGTCTGTTTTTCTGTCTGTCCATCCGTCCGTCCGTGTCTGTCTGCCTGTTTGTCTTGTCTGTCTCTCTGTCTATCTGTCTGTCTGTCTGTCCGTCCGTCCGTTCGTGTCTGTCTGTCTGTCTGTCTGTCTGTATGTCTGTCTGTCTGCTTATCTGTCTGTCTGTCCATCCGTGTCTGTCTGTCTGTTTGTCTTGTCTATCTATCTATCTATCTGTCTGTCTGTCTGTCTGTCTGTCTGTCTGTCCGTCCGTGTCTGTCTGTCTGTTTGTCTGTCTGTCTGTCTGTCCGTCTGTTTGTCTGTCTGTCTGTCTGTCTGTCCATCCGTCCGTCCATGTATGTCGTCTGTCTGTCTGTCCATTCGTCCGTCCGTGTCTGTCGTCTGTCTGTCTGTCTGTCTGTCTGTCCGTCTGTCTGTCTGTCTGTTTTTCTGTCTGTCCGTCCATCCATCCGTGTCTGTCTGTCTGTCTGTCTGTCTGTCCATCTGTCCGTCCGTGTCTGTCTGTCTGTCTGTCTGTTTGTCTTGTCTGTCTCTCTGTCTATCTGTCTGTCTGTCTGTCTGTATGTCCGTCAGTCCGTCCGTGTCTGTCTGTCTGTCTGTATGTCTGTCTGTCTGCTTATCTGTCTGTCTGTCCGTCCGTGTCTGTCGGTCTGTATGTCTGTCTGTTTGTCTTGTCTGTCTGTCTGTCTGTCTGTCTGTCTGTCTGTCTGTCTATCTATCTATCTATCTATCTATCTGTCTATCTGTCTATCTGTCTGTCTGTCTGTCTGTCTGTCTGTCTGTGTCTGTCTGTCTGTCTGTGTCTGCGTCTGTCTGTCTGTCTGTCTGTCTCTGTCTGTCTGTCTGTCTGTCTGTCTGTCTGTCTGTCTGTCTGTCTGTCTGTCTGTCTGTCTGTCTGTCTGTGAATATGGTGTGCCGGCTACGCCAAAGGGACGGACTGCCCTGGACCATTAGGAGCTTCGCCCTTAGGAAAATGGATAATTTGGAATGCCGCGGACCGACTACAATATCAGGCTTGGGAACATTACTCTGAAGCTGTCTGACTATTTTTTTTCATGTCGCTGCCTAGTCTATTTAAGAGAAGTCATGTACACAGGTTAAGAGAGCCCGAGTTTTGCAGAGCGCGAGAGATTTCGTCATTTTGAACATGATTATCGCTGAACCAACAATATATGCTTCTAATTTAGCCACACCATTTTCGAGTCTCCTTTGCTTTGTACTTAGTTGCGTTTCAGCCGACATCCTTTGCTTTAGTTATTCAAATGTAAACCTCAAAGTTGTTTCGAAACATGCGGGCCTAATTTCGGCTACTTTAATAGTCCTTGGCCTAAGTTGAATATTTCTGTCTAGCTGTTTTTAATTTCATAGGTATTTCTGTGTGTGCGTGTGTGTGCTACTTGGAAATTCTGCGTGGTTATAATGGGGCATGGAAGCTAGAGATTGTTGTATTAGAGGACGATTCTGCTTACGTGGTTTGCCAATGAAACTATGCGGTGATTTTCAGCTCTGCATAATCTGAAACAAGCTGTGGGAGTGGGCTTGTTGGTGTTTCACAAAGTTAGTTAGATAAACACAAAAAAAATATATTCGTGACAAATTTAGATAACAATTTTATTAATGGTGATCGCGCGCGTGGTCACCCTTAATAGAAGCAGGGTTTGTGGTCTGCTCTCGTCCTCGTTGTCTTTCTCTACGGTGTGTACGCTTTTCTATACCTTCACATTACGCGTAATTTGAAGCCCGTATCGCATTTTCCTCCGCCTTCCACGCGCGACAGTTCACACGTGCACACGAGCGTAACGCAATACGCTCTCGCTTCCGGCGCGTAACAATGAACCGCGTGTGTAAACACGCCGGCACCTCGGTGTTTTCTGTCAGCAGCTGTCTGTGACAACAGCGTTCGGAAATAAAGAAATAAGTAAACAATCCAGACGGCTGTATGGCGTCTGCCCACACGTATGTCTGAAAGCCGAAACGCCAAGGTCTCGTCGTAATAACGCGCGGACGATCCGGACGTCCAAGGTCGCGCGCTTATTCAATGCATCGGCGCGATCGCATTGCAGCGCCGTGCGCACGTACACAGCATACAAAGCCATCAATGTACACGCCGGCTTCATACCGTTAGCATAGGCTGCGCCTCTATCTAGCAGCCGCACAACCGCTAATTAAGAAAAAAACGACGATGCGTGTTTGATTGGCTTCCTGTCTGGCAGACAGGGACGTGGAGATGCATCCGTGGTCGCCTGGCAGGCGTTGCTTTTACGGCGTCCGCCGTCTGCTCCCAGCTTGGGTCAGTCGAATCATTCAGTGGGAAGTGAGCTATAGGGTTTCAGAACAATCTGCGGGTAAGCTTTAAAAGTTATGAAAGAGCGTGTTTCGAACTAAAAAGTTATGAAAACCATCGCTACTGAAGTGGCGTAACACACGCAACGCTTCATCTTCATATAACACGAAGAAGCCAACAAAGATACAACGTTAATCAAGTCTGCACAAAAACTTGTGTAGGCTGAGCTAAGCTTGAAGTTTTTAGTCGCTGATTCAATCACTGACTAATATTCGTTAACTGTGGATGATCTGATAGTTATTGCAGGCTACTGAAGGCTTCTCGTTCCATAACACCGTATACTAATCGATGTCTGTGTAAGCCGTGCTTCCGTCTCACTCCATTAACTATATGGTTCATTGCTTTAGCTTGTGAAAATATATTAGCTGCAACTGTTTTATTTTCTTGTTTATCATGCTCCAATACGCGAGACTGCTTTAAAAAGGAATCAGGTTATGTGAAAACTGCGAGTGTGCTCGTTAGCCTTCATTCCGCGTAATCATACAAATACACAAAAAAGTTGTAATGCGGTCGCTTCGAGTGATTTTGCGAGCTTTTCAGTAGTGTTCAGTCTAGAGTTTCCTGACATTAGAAAGAACTCTGGCGCTGCGATCGTTCAGCCACCGTGGAATGATGGGTAGTATACATACTTGCCTAGTCAACGTGTTTGCGGGCTTCGAACGCATTTGCTGTCTAGGTTATATCTCGAATAAACGAACCGAGCGTGTAGATCTTTGGGACCCGATTTGAATTAGTGAGCCTGAAAGGAGAAGGTGATGAATTGTAAATGCTGAACATTTGCTTATTGTCGTCTCGTGGCAAAGTGGTTACAGGTCACTCGAAGCCAAATAGAGCCGAAAGAACAAAGAGTGTACAAATACGTTAAACCAGCCTTCCCATGCTGGTTTAACTGCCATGCGTTCCTCCTTGCCATGCGTTCCAGCGTTCCAACACTAGCGCCAGAGTTCCCTCTAGTGTATTTGTAGGAAACTTTGTGCACAAAGTTCACAAAAGAGGGAAACTCCTTATTGAAACTGGCCCTTATCCCAATCGGGCTGCTCGACGTCCCTTTAGTCCGGGACGTCATTAGTTCACATTATGTTGCAAGCGTTCACACTCCGGGAACTGAGAAGCCAGAGACCACGGTGAAAGAAAAGAAAAAACTTCGAAGGCTGCATTATGGCTCACATCCGGCCTTGGCAAGTGAATGCTCCGCAAAGCCACAACGTTCGGCCAAACACGTGACTTAATGCGCCATGACCGGCTGGCAGAATAGCCAGCTGGTCATCACTGAACTTCATGTCGTTCCGTTTTTCTTCGCCCCCTCCTCTTTCGTGCGCCAAGATCTCGCAGTAATTTATATTTATCGAGAGTCTTGTGTTTACGCGGTAGTATTTAAGTGAAGAACGCATGTTCCGATATGCTCGCAGAGTTCCTTGCGCATGACTGAAAAGCGAAAAGCACCTTATTATAGTTTAAGAATTGGGGCCCCAAGGAGCTGGAAGACCCGAAAAATTCGCCATCTTTAAAGTCCCCCACCCCTTTTACCAGTGTATAGGGTAGCATACCAGCCTTCCCTAGACTGCGCCGTGCTCCCGACCAGGCTGCAGAAATTAGGTGCCTTTCTCCTCCTATAACCACTACCACCACCACTGGTTAACATATCTGGTTTTCCTTTCCTTTCTGCTCCTTTCTTATGAGCGGGCAGGGCACATGAGCAGAAGCCAAAGCGCTCATGGGCTCTTGCGCTCGCGCTGCCCCAAGACCCAAAAATCAAAAACCAGCGTGTGTCCCCAAGGCGTCTTCGGTCGCCATCAACATAATGCAGGCACAGCGTTGTCCAAGATAGGCCGCACGTCGCGTAATTTCAATTTCGCCGCTTGTGGCACTCCGTGCGTTTGATCCAACGCCGCCTGTGTTCTACCCAGTTCTCAAACTGTGCTGCTTCCTCCGAACGCAACAACAGCCTACGCAACGCAGCTTGGGGACCCAGTGTATCGGTTCTCCAAATATCAAGCTCTATTTTCCTTCCCAGTTATTGCTCCTGCACCAGCACTCGCCGAAAGCGTCTTAAGTGGTTCTGCGCTGCCTCCAGGCCACCTCACCAAGTTTTGCTCTGCCTCTGCGATTGGCCCGCCTTTGACCAAGCTACTTATCATACGATGACGTCACCATGAGACATCACCACGGCGTCATGGTAGCGTGCGGATGCGATCATGTCTGTCAGCGGTGATGTTATGGTGTCATTATCACATGATGACAATTTTCCGCATCACTCGTGTAGACGACGCTGACGTGGAAGGTCGATCAATTTTCGAGGTTTGATGAGAACTCTTAGGCTTTCGCCTTCGAGAAACAAGTCGAACGAAGCATTTTGGTACCATTGATTCACTTTGACCACCTCAGCTATAGTTGACGAGGGGCTGGACCTTGCCGTTCGTTTCAACGCTGCAGGGGTGGGCGTCCTCTGAACCCAGTCACTCGTTATAAAAAATGCAGAAGTACAGAGCTGCTTAACAATTTTCGCGGCCCTTCCCTGCTGTCATTGGATCGGTGAATACGTGGTGCGCGTGCTTACTTGCAACGCAGTAGTCGACGCAGAATTCAGGCGTATAGGCACCGCATCCGCGTCTACTTTTTCGACTCAATATGATGGGGTGGGCTCGCGCCTGATGAACTGTTCAGACGTGCGGTTTGCCCCCCTCCTAAAGCTGCGTTGACGGCTTACATTGGGGAAACAGAAAAGGTCACTGAGTCGGCACCTCTCCATTTGTGTCTGCTATAGCGTGCGCCGTATGTATCACCGGGGGCGAAATTCACAATTTTTGTTCACCGCCGTGAAATGGTTCGGAATGATGAAAGCTGATCGAACGTACGTTAAAGCTTACCGCGTGCTCTGACTTTTTTTTTTCGTAGTTGTCTGTCCAAAACAGTACCCTTCGATCACGTTGGCAATGCTCCCCGCTAATTTTCTCTCTTCCTCCGTGCCAGAGGCAAACACTGCAGGCTGCAGGAATTAACGGGGCGGCGGCATCTGCAATGCGGTAGATCCTGACGAGAAACCAATTACGAATAATCACGCGAACGGCGCTTCCCCTTACGGGAGGCATTGCTGCGGATAACTGAGTACGAATGGCATGCCGCCGGCAAGCTTGTCCCTTTGCCTTCCACCCGTCTCTTGTCTTTCTCTCTCTACCTGTATGGAAAGAATGGAGACGGAAGGGGCAGGACTGGCCATTCGGCCAGTCATGATTGTCGCAAATTGTTTGGCGCAGCCATCTCCAGCTTGCGACAGACCAAGTGATTGCACGAGTTCTTTTTTTTTTTTTTTGCACTTCTCGATCTGGCCCCAGTACGTAGTGACGCCTGACGGGGAACTTTCAATGTTGGTTTCGTCGAGAAACGTTCATTTGCATTGACCCTTTATTACAATGACCTCTTCGAACTCGGGTGCTTTTGTAACCTCTAGGTCACTATTTCGGTGTAAATGTTTTAACGGTTCCCAATTAGTATTAAGGTGTAGGCCTGTATTCCCAAACCAACCTTATCTTCATGTTATGTCTTCCTTAAGTTTCTGTAGACTCTACCTACATTATATTGGCACAAAAATAGTTACAGAATAAAAAATAACTTCAAGATATATCTGTGAATACTCACAAACTTTGTTTATCAAACATACTAAAGGCACAAACGGGTAAGAAAAACATTCGGAAAGTCTAGGACCAGTTCGCCAATGCGAGTCTTAGTGCAATAATGGAAAGACGCCTGAGGCGTTGCAAGAAAAAGGGATGATGAGTAGCATAGATTTTAGGGCACGTCATGACTGTTTTTATAATAATTACTAATTTTTGTTTTCATAGATAGTCAGCGTCACAAAATTCACTAAAATGATTGCAAATTGACGTGCTAGTTATGTTTCGAGCTTTGGGTTTTGTAATGAAAGAAGTAACTCTAACGAAAGACATTGATAGAAAAGTAACGATTAAAAACAATCCGTACTTTATGAATAACAGCGTGAACGATAAGAAAAGAATTATTACTTTGCACTGTCTCGTTTATTGAGTATAGTATGCTGTTTACTCCATATTGTGTTTAGATTAAGCAATTTCTTATAAAATTTCAGCAGCAAGCAGCACTATGCCGCCCATGTCTTATTTTGTCCCTGTTTTTACTGTCCTAAACTCTTCACGATGACCGACTTTCAAAAAGCCCAGATTTCAGTCCTAATGCACCATCATAGAAATTTCTAAAGATATGAAGAGTTTCTTTAGAAAATGAGGACGAGTGGAACTGGAAAAAAAAGCACAAAAGGGAAGGCAGGTAAAGAACGACGCTGCACGAACAACTCTGTTCAGGTGTAATCTGCACATTCTCCAATCCAATCGCATTTGCTCAGTTACCTGACGGCAGTCGTCTATCACGCATTTCAGGTGGGTGACTTTTTCATATACGGATACACACGCTCGAGTCACTGCAGTTCTCGTTCGAAAGCTTCACCATGAGTAAACTTAAATCACTGCTCAGCCAAACATGACATTTTAAGAACTTCAAAATTTTCATCGTGCGTAATATGTGTTTAGAAAAAATGTTGAACGATCTCGAGTACTTCATACTCAGCCACGAGAGAGCAATGAGCCTTTCCTTTGTTAGAACGGTAACACCGTAGCCCGAATTTTTTAGATGGGATGATTGGCAGGCGTGCCGCAGCTCTGGTGCCGGTGTCTTTAGTCATTATTCAGTTCTAACCGGTGACAAAACAAAGACACAAGAGAACAAATGCCATAGGACAAGAGCTGACTGTCAAATGTCAGTTTATTCAAACCAAACCGAGCTTTTTTTATATAAAATTCTAGAATAGACGTGCGCGCGAACATCAGTCCCACACTTTCCATATAAGACAAAAAATTTACTATCTTTCATTTAGAAAGCTCATATCTCTTTTGAATGATACAATAGAGGGAACATTCGTTGATCTATTTTTCATTTTTCTGATGCGAAAGGAATCTATTGTTACCCCCTGTCGACTTCGTTTCTCCATTTTATTGTCGGTTACAACATAAAAATAGGTGCAGGCTCCGCCCCTTGAACTGTGGAGCACTTGCCATTAATCCTTCCAAGCTAGCGATGGAAGGTGGTTTCTATTGTGATGTTATGTCTATGGTAACTTTTTCACGCCACTGTGCATGAATGAAAGTTCAACCGTTTTTGCAGTTTGCACCGGCAACCAACAGGTGGTAGTTAAGCGTTCGTCTCTCTTTTTCCTCCCCTCTTTTTTCATGTTCCTGTGCTCCCTGTAATGCGTCAGTCACGAAATGTTCAGCAAACCGCTCTAACCTTGGTAATTTTTTGTTGCTAATCTAAATGCTGTTAGGTGCGGAGCAGGTTGCAGGGACAGGCTGTGGTATGCCATCGTCGTCGCTTGGCGTAGCGCAGGCCTAACTACATACAGCTCATAGATATAGCATAATGAGCACGTGCTGGCGCCAATAAGACCTCTTCTTCCTCTTGCTCTTCGAGCGCCTTCGCGATGATATGGAATGTGGACATCCCCGCTGTGGATAGGGAAACACGACAGCACGATCCGAGTATAAAAAGTGAACGAGGAGGCAAGGGAGAAATAGAGAGAGAGAGAAAGAGAAAAGTAGGAAGAAAATTAGAAATAAAAAGGGAAAAGCAGAAAAAAATGGAAAAGAGAAAAGAACAAAGAGAGGGGGAAAGAAAAAATAAAACCGCAGCGAAACAAAGGAGGCTGCCCAGTTCTGTTTTCCTTCGGGCTTGCCAATGGCTAAGCTGCCCCCATTTGCAAAAGTTTGCCCTGTTTACTTCAAGTGATAAGTTCCCCAGAGAAGCGATGTCGGAACGTCAGCTGAAATTCGGGACAGTTCAAGCTTTCGACCGAGAACTAGAGACACGAACATAGGTTTTCGTGAAAAAAATCACTTACCTGAAATACGTGGAAGGTCTTCCACGTTACGGAAATGATTTGATATGATTGGATAGGGAATCTATGTAAATTAAGTCTGGGTGGGACGACGATGATGGGGGTGGAGCAGGGATGCCTTTGTTACAACCGTCTGTAGTGTTGTTTCATCCTCACTTCTAATATTAACCACCGAGGACTCATCAAGCTGTTACTAATGGGAATTTCGGGTGCTACTTCACTGTTTCAAATGCGAAGCAGCTTGTAGCTAAGCTCAATCTGGTGTGCGTAACCACGCATACTGCGCATGTGGAACTGCTGGCCCAAGCGCTGCCAGAACGCGCTTACGCGATAGCGCGGAAGCGCGTTCTGGTAAGTGGCTGTATCTAAGTGGCTGTGTAGAAGGCGGTAACCCCTCTCTCTTACACTTTTCTAAAAATTACGTCATTGCGCAAGGGAACGAGATTCCGCAGACGTGCGATGAAATGACAGTGCATTCATGGACACCTTACCATCGGGCAAGGTGCCCGGGATGAACAAAACATTAAGTCGACCCATGCTCTGCTTCGCTTGCTACTCATGGTTCCCTTTAGTGGGAGATAGTGTAATTTTTAATGTAAATTTTAGGGAGGGGGGGGGGGTTGCATACAAACGCAATTATGGCCATCTCTTTATTCTGTCTTTAACATTATATGCAGGTGTTGCCAACATTCAGCCCGTGGCTTGGTACGCCACACTGTCCGTCTGCTTCCAAGTAAGTGAGACATAAGGTTTTCCCTTCGACAGTGAAAACAAGTGGCGCAGTGTGGCGTAACTTGTGGGAGGCAGGCATTTCGGAAGTCAGACCTCCCCCCCAACCCGTGCCAAAGTTTTTACACCAGCCCCGCTCTCCTGAAAAATGCTTGTGGCGGCGCCCCTGATGGGGCGGTAAAGACTTGTGCAATGTCACACACGCTTAGATGAAGTACTTATTGGTGCACTCATTGAGGAGTTGGCTGAATCTCCCGAAGATCACGGAAGCCCTGCATTGACACTAAAGAGGAATACGGGTTTTCTTACATTATTCAACTAACCTATCTAAATAACGAAAACACCGAGCTTGCGGAGAGACGATGCCTAATAAGCGAGAAAACGCATAAAATAAAAAAAAATGGGTGACGACGTCACCTTGAAGTTTCCGCACCAATCGCTGCTAATCGTGACGTCACAGATTTTGACGACGCCTACGAGGCCTACCTCCCTGCACTTCTCTCAAGTTATTCTCTCTCTCAAGCGAGAAAAAGAGAAACAGAGGAAAGACACGAAGGTCAACCAAGCTTGGCTCGGTTAGCTACCCTACACTTGGAGTGGAAAAAGGAGGAATAATTCAAAGGAAAGAGATAGAAAAGAAGAGGAGTAAGAAGAGACGAATAAATAGTCAGCTAGTGACTACACAGCACGGTCTCACGCTGTTCTTTCACCCGGGCTCGTGAAGTCCGATGTTTCTTAAGAAGCACAAAATTACTTTCGTGGCTTTGCGCGTATGCGAGACCATCGGCCGAGGTCCCAGGATCTTTTCTGTAAGTCGTCTTGAATTCAGGGGACGAAGCTAGACTTCCATGAGCACGTCGTTCAGATTGGTATCGTGCGCAGTAACATAGAATGGGCTCAAGCGTCTCCTCGCAGGCGCAAATGTTCCATGCTGCACTTCTGGCCAATTTTATAGGGCCAAAGGCTCCTAAATACGACCACTACCCTTTGAAATCAGTGACGTCACGCGTGGAGATTTTGGAAAGAAACTCAAGTATGAATCTTGAAACTTGATTTTCTTCCATTTTAATTACTAGACTTATGATGTTTAAATCATCGACATTATAATTCTCCAAGTACTTTTTTTTCAATCTAAACTGATTCATTATTTCTGCCTAGTGTCCCTTTAATGTATGTCATCATGTGTAAACCTGAACAATTGTCACATCACATCGCGTCTATACAAAGTGCGGTATATATTTTGTGGGCCCACCGACGCTGTAGTTACATACCTAGGGTAGAAAAATACTCAGCAAGGAGAGATCGCTTAGTGATCACAAAATTCGAAAGTGCACTACCTTGTCGATTGTCAACATACGGAAGATCAGGGACCTGCCTTCATAACGAAGTTCCGTCGAACGAGCAAACGTTTAGCTTGATTTTGATTTCGTGCATGCGTTTCGGTCTTACTGGTGACGATGTTGATGTCCGTACTTTCGTATTCACACCGGGCAATTGGCCAAAAACCGGACATATGAAATTTTAAAGAGAGAGAGGGAAAGAGATAAAGATACAAGGAAAGGCAGGGAGGTTAACCAGACGCACATCCGGTTTGCTACCCTGCACTGGGGAAGGGATAAAGTCGAGAAAAGAGGTTGCACAAAGATGAGAAGGTACACACAATCACGAGCACACTCGGTGACCACACACAGTTCACAGGCAGTCGCTCAAGTTTGTTGACTTAAGGTAAAGAAGCAGTGCTTTAGTTGCTTTCTGCGCAACTGAGGCAGATGCCCAAGGTCCTAGTATCTTCTGCACACAAAATAATCCTGGGTCAAGTCGATTCAAAACCATCCGTAGCTGGCAACGCTGTGTGTCGTAGCAAGCGCAGCTGCAGAGGACGTGTTCGATGGTTTCTTCATCTCCGCAGTAGTCGCATGTAGGAGTGTCTGCCATACCATTGCGAAAGGAGTACACCTTTGTGAATGCAACACCCAACCAAAGGCGGCATAACAGTGTCGCATCGGAGCGGGAAAGTTGTGATGGTAGCTTTAGCTTTAGCGAAGGATCCAGTTCATAAAATTGACACCTTTGGAAGCTGGTAGACGACCAGAACGTGCGTGTGAGATCTCGAGCCAGCAGGTAAAGTTGTCTTGCTGCATCATTCCTTGATAGAGGAATCGGGACTACACGGGTTTCTTCATGGGCTGAGCGGGCTGCATCATCGGCTAGTTCATTTCCGGTAATACCGATATGTCCAGGCAGCCATTGATATATAATATCATGCCCTCGTGCTACAGCTTCATGATGGCAATGTCTTATTTCTTGTACCAGTTGGTCATGGCTCCTCCTACGCATGGCAGACTGCAAACTCGGAAGCGCTGCCTTCGAATCACAGAATATGACCCATTTTCCTGGACGTTCTTGAACGAAATATTGTAAAGCAGCCCTTATAGCAGCAAGCTCCGATGCCGTAGATGTAGTCATATGCGACAACTTAAACTTGATTGTCATTTCTGCAGCCGGAATTACAGCGGCACTTGATGAGCTGCTGGATGAGACGGACCCATCAGTGTATATCTGCGTTCGGTCTAAGTACAACTCATGTAATAATAGCAGTGTTGCTTGCTTCAATGCTACTCTGGAGTGACTGTTTTTCTTTTTGATTCCCGGAATTTCTAGACGTACTTGCGGCTGGTCGAGGCACCACAAAGGGCATGCCGTTCTCGCAGCTGGCGTATATCCTGATGGAATGCTGTTTAGGTGCTTGACTATGACGTCTGAAAACGTAGCACGTGGTCTTCCGGAAGGTAGAAGGGCCAAGTGGTGGTCGGGGACACGGCTAGCATGTCGAATGTGCGCTCTGAGGCAATCCACAGCTATATATGTCCTGACCGGATGGTCTTTGGCAAGCATGATTGTGGCATAAGTAGAAGCGCATCGGGGCAGTCCTAGACAGATACGCAGTGCCTAACCCTGCAAACTCTCCAATGAATGAGTATTCGATTTGCAAGTGTTAGTCAGTACCGGCAAGCTGTAGCGCAATAGACCCAGAAATAGGGCCCTGTACAGCTGTAGCATGGAGGCCACAGAAGTTCCCCATGCTTTACCGCACAAGAATTTCATATGCACAATAGATAGCAGTCTCTTCTTCAAGTACGCACAATGTGGGCTCCACGAAAGACTTCTGTCAATTATTATGCCCAGGAAACGATGCGTCCGTGCATATTTGACACTCTGCCCATTGATGTAAACAGGGTATGGCGTCATTGGTTTGCGTGTAAACGCCATCAACGCGCACTTCACAGTTGATTTATTTAGGCCTTGTTTCTGAAGGTAGGCTGTTGTGAGGGTTGCTGCCCGCTGTATTCGTGCACGCACCTGAGGGCGAGTAACTGCAGCACTCCAGAGGCATATATCATCGGCGTATATGGATAGACACACCGACTTTGGCAGAACCTTCACCAGACCAATGAGGGCCACATTGAACAATGTGGGGCTTAAAACACCTCCCTGAGGTACTCCGCAGTAGGTGTAATGTTGGGCAGTTGTACCCTCATATGTTTGTACAAAGAAACCTCTGCCAGTTATATAATCTTTTATCCATTGAAACATTCGTCCACCAATGCCCATTGCTGCGAGAGAAGTGAGGATGGCATCGTGAGCTACATTATCATATGCACCCTTCGCGTCAAGAAAGAGTGCCGCTGATATGCGCTTGCGACTTTTTTCTTGTTGAACAAATGTCGACAAATCAAGGACACAGACAATGGAGGAGCAGCCCCAACGAAAGCCTGTCATGCAAGAAGGGTATTTGGTGTATCGTTCCAAGTACCACTCGAGACGAAATAGAACCATCCTTTCCATCACTTTTCCGAGGCAGCTTGCGAGGGCAATAGGGCGATACGCTGTCAAGTCCAATGGTGATTTTCCCGATTTCAAAAGTGGTATTAATCGACTAAATTTCCATTCTCGGGGAACACTGCCGCTGAGCCAGGAGTTGTTGAAGCATGTTAAAAGTTCTTTTCTAGCTTTTTGTCCAAGGTGTCTCAACGCACTATAAGTAATACCATCAGGACCTGGCGACGACATGCGCTTAGAAGCGACTAACGCACCTTCCAGTTCTTCCATGGTGAACGGAATGTCCATTTCTGGTAATCGCGTCTCAGGAACGATCACGGCGTCGATGCTCTCGTTCACAATATTCCCGGCAACTTTCGTGCAAAATTCTTCAGCCACCTCGAGTTCTGTTTTTCCCTGATGGAGTGCCAAAGCTTTAAAAGGGTGCCGTTGTTGTGGAGAGGAGCGAAGACCACGAACTGTTCTCCAGATATATGACAGCGGTTTATGAGGGTCTAGAGATTCGCAGAATGCTTTCCAGCGTTCGCTCTCCAGTTTGTAAATGCGTCGTTGAATCTTTTTCTGGAGCCGCCTTGCTTCCCTCAGATCGTAAATTGATCTTGTGCGTCTGTATCGTCGTTCTGCACGCCTTCGTATAGCTCGTAATTTTTCCAGTTCGATGTCAAACTGTGTCACTTTAGACGAAAATGGTAATTTACATTTGGACGCTTGCATAGCTTCCACTATGGTATTTTCCAGGCTGCAGGCGAGGCCTTCTTGGCAAGCGTTCTCAACACGCGATGCAAACATCGACCAGTCAGTGCCAATTGCAACACCGGAAGAGAAATTTTTTACGATACCATCGATCGTCACGTAGGTGGGTATGTGATCACTCCCATGAGTCTCAATATCGCAAAACCACTTAACTTTGTGAGAGAAGCACCGTGACACCAATGTCAGGTCAAGGCAACTGCCATACGTGAGACCCCGCAGATATGTGGGGGTACCATCGTTCATGATGGAAAGGCCGTAATCGGAAGCGAATGTAACAATGTTCCGGCCCCTGGCATTCATCCTAGTGCTCCCCCAAAGCATGTGATGGGCGTTGAAGTCACCGGTGATGATCCAAGGCCCATCGGTTCTCATTAGGATGTCTTTTAATCTGTCGCAGTCAAATCGCGATGA